GCGAAATTGGAAGACTATGGAGCAGACTCAACATTTACAAGTGTAATAGGGTCTTTGTTTGGTCAGTACATTATTACAATTAAAAGTGGTCTAATTACTTACCCTTCGTTCGAGATATGTGGCGGTTTACTACAAGGTGATCCGTTATCACCCTATTTATTCAACTTTATGATCCATGATTTAGATAATCAATTTATGAAGGAGGAGGATGGTATTAATATTAAGGACAATTTGATAGTACATTCGATACAATACGCCGACGATGTGGTATTGATTTCACCGACAAAAATAGGTCTTCAAAGAAAATTAAATTTAACTGAGAGATACTTTTCGAAGATGGGATTGAAGATCAACCCGAATAAGACCCATATTGTTGTGTTTTGAAACGGAGGTAAGCTGGTGAGGAAAGATCATGACTTTTATTTGTTGAGTGAAAAATTGAAAGTAACTGAGGAAGTATTATATTTGGGTGTTCATATTACCTCAACGTTGTCTTTTGGAAAACACATGCAGTGAATGAAGACTAAAGCATATAGAATAATTAATAATTTAATTAGTTTATTTGTTAAAATGAAAACAAATTCTATTCAAATGCAGTTTCGACTGTTTTCAGCGCTGGTTATCAACTCTATTTGCTATGCTCTCCCATTATGGGGTCTGGACTGGTTATCTTACTTTGAAAAAATTCAATTACAATTTATAAGAAAAATTTATGGATTAGACAAAGCAGTGCCGGAGTATGCGATTCGCCATGATACTAACAGAATGTTATTAGAGCCTTACTTGGTAATTAGGATCATGAAATTTCTAAAGAGACTGTTAACTAGTGAGAATATACAGGTTAATACAATATTAAAAGTTTTAAAAACCTTGGCAGAGAACAAAAAAACTATCAAAACAACTGGTATAACAAACTTAGGATCAAATTAGCAAGTTATGGTTTGTCTCATTTATTATTTAACAGTTCAGAAACAGACTGGAATTACGGAATTTCTTTATTGGTGGAGAATATGTATAATAATTCAATTGTTCGTGAGATGAAAAATTTACAGGAGTCAAAATTTCACCCATGGTATATAGTTAATCTAAATTTCCCTCCAGCAAGTAATTATATTCATTATAAAATACCATTTGGGATGAAAAGATTTTATATGCAGATCAGATTAAACAGTTTTTATATCATAGTTGAAGGAAATTATTTGGACATTAGGAATAAACAATGTAAGCTATGTAATGACCAAATTTCTGTATATCATATAATTAGTTTGTGCAAAGGTTGTTCCAAACTTAGAGAACAGATTGGTATTTCTACCTTGTCAGCCATCAAATCTATGCAAGAATTCTATCAAAAAATATTTCAGATGGGTCCAACTATGATTATCAGAATTTATCAGTTCATTATTAAATATATTAAAA